GTGTGTGTGTGTGTGTGTGTGTGTGTGTGTGTACATGCACAAGGCTGTAAAAGGAGAATGATAAGTTACACTATCCTTACTTAAAGTCCAGAGAGCATATACACTGTGCACTTACAAGCCTGATTAGTTTCGGGAGAAATCTGGTTTCTATAATCGGGGTATTAGGGGATGAAGAGAAATGTGGTTTGCACAGATTGATTTCTATGAGAGAATCCAGATTTCTTAGTCACGTCAAACAGGTTTCCTACCTGCATGTGTGCATGACAAAGAAGTAAACCGGGTTATAGCAGTACACGTATCCTCCTCTCTGAGATGTCTTGTGTGTAAATAGCCATAAATAAAGAATAAATGAATGACATAAGGAAAGAATTAAAGTTCTACATATGACGTACAAACGGCTCAATTATCCAAACCTCAGACAATGAAACAAAGAATGTAGTGGGAAATTAAAACTGAAAACCTGACAGACGCCTCTATCTGACTAGATTCCAGTAAACCCCCCAAATTCCTGTAACCTTTTTAGATACTATACTGGATGTTTGAACTGCGGAGGCCACAGTGTTGTAGAATATAGGAAGCAATTGTGTAATCGTTCAGGCTATATGTTCATGTAGAGAGTTCAACTTTGGGGCAAAACATGCCACACCCAAATGTATTCCACATGGCTGAAGTAGCAGCGTTGAGCTCTGCTGAGGCTGCTCAGACATGCACAATGACAGAGCCAGTAAAACCATGGAGGATGTTTATAGCATATAACCCTCAGTGCTTCATAATCAAAATCGCTTTGTTAATGTGTGTGCAAGGGATTTGGGGATAGATCTTGAGCAGGGACTGCCTTCTATAGCACCTTCCCTAATCAATGTGAAGTGATAAATGGAAAAAAAAATGAAGGCCTTTAATTCCTAGTTTTGCCTCAGAACGTTGACCATTTATAGTCAGTCTCAATCGACGACGCAAGGGTTTCTGGGAGAGATCTTGGAGAGGAAACACTTTTAATTACCATTGCCAACAACATCAGAAGCAAAAACAAATATGGGGAAACAAAATCCACAAAAAAAAACAAAACCCTTCAACCAACCACCTAAATTAAAAAAGACGTCAGATCTCATTGGATCTCTCCTTGTTGTCATTTATGACCCTCACTTCTCAGGAACCGTGACACCACTCCAGTCATTCCAGCTTCCTGTTGAAGGGTCCAGAGGGAAAAAACCAACATGACTTCATATCCTCAACCTTATCTGATACAGCATGTGTAGAAAACAATTGTCTCCAACTGTGGTTGGCCCCCCTCATGTAATCTGACACTCTGGATGAGGGGGAATGGAGAGTCACCATGTTGGAAGTCTGTGTGCAATTCCTCAATTTAACTTGTTACGCAAAGGCAGCAGAGCGCCAGGCGTACGAGGCAGCTCCAGCATATTTTCATGAAACTGTAGCTGTGTGTAATTAGCCTCTGAGGTCCGGGGCGGGGTCGATTGTGTCGCTCATGGTTTTCTATCATTCCACAGGAGCTCGCTCTGAGGAATCAGCTGCCCACCAGTATGGATCAAGATGGCAGCACGAACCCAGTGTCCTCCCCTATGGCCCAAGATGCCCGCACGATGACTGCCAACAGCTCCGACCCATTCCTTAACAGGTTGGTTTCACGGATGTCCGTTCCGTAGAGCAAACGGACAAATAGACGACATAAACAGTGCGGCACAACTGCGAGACACGCGATGTCTGTGCAGGGCTTATCGAATCGTGTTCGAGGGAGTCTGCGAGCTGGGCTGTTTGAGTTGGAGCCCCGGTGAGAGCTCCCTCAGTTACACAAGTAGTAAAAACAGAAGGCCAGTCTCTGGGCTTAACCCTCTTCACATGGTAATGACTCATTCAGACCTGCAGCTCTGCGCCGGAGTTCACTGCACAATGATGACCTCTGGTGTACGACTGCTGCAATAAAGGCGAGCAGAAACCAAAATGCTGCTGGAACGCTGCAAAATTATATTTATATTATAACACGATTTCCACAGCTTGAGGAGTGAAGACACAAAAAACGGATGGACTGGAACTAGATGTGCAAACAGCAGTGATCAGGAGGTTCTTTTCTAACTCGTCTGTGAAGGCCACTCCGTTGCAGCCTGGGAAATAATTCATGCTCGTCTGTATGAGGACGAAGTGAGGAAAAGAGCTGAATAGCAAGCAGGCCATGAGAACATGTGGTCCAGTCAGTAGACAGACCGACCTAATCTCCCCTCCTCCCTGTTGCCTCCGCTCCCCTGCTCTCACAATGGCCTCATTCATCCTGCCCCTGCCATACTCTGCCTACATATTTTTCCTCTGCTAATTAGTATAGGCTTGTCAAATGTCTCCCTCACTCCCTCCTTTGTCTCTTCTGCCCCCTTTCATTGTTGCTCTTTTTCGTATGTTCCGCAATCGATGGGCAAAGAACGTGCAGCTCGGTTTCAATGGCGTCACTGTGAATTAGTCACCAGCATCGTTCGCATAGATCTAAGTGGTGAAATGTGCACGTATATGTAGAAGATCCCCCGAGGGAACCGAGACCACGCTTTTATTTTTCAGCCTGTGTGCTTTTAATAACCGCGTTTGTTTCTTGTGGGATTGTTTAATTAAATTCACAGTTGAGTTTTTCAAAGCAGAATTGCGGAGATCGTTAAGCTCGTCCCAAACTCTGCTGAGACGAAAAAAGCTTTTATTTCCTGCCGTTTGGTGAGAATTGTGGATGTTTATTAGCGTCTGTGCAGCTCTTTTAGCTCTTTTTTATTTTTGTATTTTCCAGCGGGACTTACCACTCCAGGGATGAGAGCACAGACAGCGGCTTGAGTATGAGCAGCTACAGCGTCCCTCGCACTCCAGATGACTTCCTCAACAGCGTGGATGAGATGGACACAGGTGAGGCTGGGAAACAAAAAGGGGATACGATCACCCACAGAGATTTACTTGTGAAGTGAATCTCGTGGGTCAAAGTTCACTGAAGTTTAACTCCACGCAAGGCCATGGTGCGTTTTGCTTCTGCACATGAAGCAGTTGTTTATAAGCCTCCTTGCTCGCACTCATTGGAAGTGAACGTGCCACTGACACATCAGCGCATGTGTAACTGTGACGTAATACAAGCATTCAAATCCAACCGCTATAACAACACATTAACAAATTCATAAAAGAAAATGTGTCCATGTTTCCTTAGATGTGGGGATCAAACCCTTATGATTAAGGGTGATCACCACTTTTGATCGGTGCCGCATTTTATGGAGAGAAGTTTTTATAAAGCGGATACTGAAATGAATGTGGTGGACGTGTCTATATAACAATTTATTAATTTATGTCCCATTATTAATCATCATTATAGTAGGAGGGTTCCCTTCATCTCTTCATACCATGTAAATGCAGAAGGAGCCATAAGTTTTCAGCCATTCTTCAAAAAGTGAAATCAGATTCAAGCAAACTCCTTTTTAATTAGCTGAATAAACTGCAGGAGTGTTAATGGTGGAGTTTATACACTGAGCTGATAATGACAGTGATTTTTAATTCTCACCACCATGTGGGTAATGGTCCAGCTCTCACAAATCCCCTGCACATAATTACCAGCGAGCAGTGTGATGTGACTGTTCTCTTCCCTCTCGGCTGCTCATATTAATGCTCTGTGTGGTTGACGAGTGCGGTTCAGTTGTTTACTCGTACTCACCGAGCCGACTACGTCCTCCAAACATTCTCTATCTTGCTCTGTTAGATGATTAAAATATATATTTTTCTTCCCGGTCACCAGGGGACTCTCTTCCACCCTCCATGGCAACACAGCCCAGCCGTTTCCCAGACTATCTGGACGCCATCCCGGGAACAGACGTGGATCTGGGCACCCTGGAGGGGGAGAGCATGGCGGTGGAAGGCGAAGAGCTGATGCCCAGTCTGCAGGAGGCGCTGAGCTCCGACATCCTCAACGACATGGAGTCCGTGCTGGCAGCTACCAAGATCGACAAGGAGAGCTTCCTCACATGGTTATAGAAGGCCCAAGCGGGGGTGCGCCTTCCTCCTCTCCCGACACTCTCGAACTGCTGCCTGCTCTAATCTGTGAAGGATTCATGCTTTTACAAGACATTTCAGCGAGCCTCTGTGGACTTCTGTCTCTGCGTTTAAGGCCAACCTCCTTTTTTGAGGCTGTATCATTCTGTTCTTCTCTCTTCACTGGTGTGTTATCTCTTTTATTTTTGTCTGTGTCTTCAAGGCTGGCCCATGAACAGACAATTACGCAAGGGTCCCCAAATCGTTCACAGCTCTGTCAGTGAATCTAGGGCATCTCCACCTAGAGTAGGGGTCGCCCCGTCCCCGGGTCGCCCCCACCCCCCTCAGAGCGGAGCTGGGCACACACTCCTTTGCAAAGACTGCCCATCCGTTGTCACCTGGGGTCTGTGGTGCCTCCTTTTCTTGCAGCACTACTTTACTGTGTTTGGAACTATTTGCATCTAGCTTAAGTAGCTTTATATTTGGCCTTGTAAGTTTCTTTTCTTTATTTTGTGTGTATTCAACGAGCCTGAGAAACCAAAAATGATGTATTTGAAGCATAAAGAACAATACTGATTTGGAGTAAAGGCAATGTGTGGCCCAGCTCGGACATTTTGGCTTTGCCGCGGGGGGTGGGCTGAGGGTTGGAGCCCGGGGACAGACTACATTGCTGCTTGGCTGTGCCAGCAAGTCTAAGTTAAACCTTTGATAGATCAAGTGCCTTCAGTTGTATTTTTTTGAGACGCGAGCACCACGAACAATTACGAAGTTTCTGTACCGCAATAAGCATTAGGCTGCGTTCATAAGCGTCAGCCACACTCTTCCTCTATCTAATGTTCAATAATCAGAATTGTATTTTTGTTTTATAAACACATGAGGGGATTTAGGGAATAACTTTTTATCTCAGTCTTATCCAAGCCTAATTCATGATTCATTCTTTGTTTTATCTTTTTAGTATTCTTTTTATTTTTAGGTTACTACATATGTATGATAGCGTAGATCAAACGGCATTTTGCTTTTGTTCTTCATTTCTTTCATCGATGAATTTCTACATTTAACAGGGTCGACTGTTATCACAGCACCTCACTTCACCAGAGAAGAAGTCGTCTGCCAGGACAAGGATTGATTCAGTTTTGACTTTGTATTTTATTTTAACAATCTAGCTGATTCATTTCTTGTCTTTTTTTATTTACTATATACATATTGGTGTGATTGTTTTTGTTGATCACATGCAGCTTTTTACTATCTTTCCTAAACATTAACCAAAAAGGCAGATCTCAAACAGAAACTATAGCTCTTTGATCAATTGTGACAACGTACATTATATACAGCGTTTGAAACCGTCTTCCTGTGAGCATGGGGGCGGCTGAACGCCTCCTTGCACGATGCTGTGCTGTGTTGAAATGAGGGGTTTGTAAACTACAGCTTGGACAAGTTTGAGCAGGTTTAAGAGTCAAGTCGAAGGGGTGACGCAGAAGGCCGAGGTTTGACTGACTGGCAGTGAGTTGTGTGGATTGTTAATTTTAATTTTTTTTTTTCGTGGAGTAATTAAGAAAACAATCAGTTATTATCTCAGTCAGGAATTGTGGTGGCAAATTCCAAAGATGTTTCTTTTCTTTTTTTTTTTTTGTAACGCCGACACTTATATTTGCTTCCATTTTCACCGAGTCCAGAAACGGTATGATTTGTAAATCAGCCTCTGTATGAACAAACTGTATAAGCTAATGAGAAAAAGATGTAGGTTTTTAAGTGTTAACGGGCACGTCTGAGTAGGTCTAGCTGAGAGATTCTTTTTTTTTTTTGGTTTTGTTTTGAGTGACTAACCCTGAGATTTAAGGATTTAAGGTTTCAGAACAGAGAAGCAAGTGTTTTCTATCTTCTATAAGCGCTCACATGTTTACATGCTCTCCGAGTAAGAAAGTGCTAAAGCCCCAGTGGAGACGACACACCGGCAACACTCTCATAATCATGTTATTTTGATGTTTACACCATGACTACACCTTCTAATTACTGCAGTAACCTCTGAATAATCAGCCTGCCGTGCACGCCCTTGATGAGGCCTTGCAGGATGTCACAGCGATTCTGTTGCCAGCCAATACACAATTGGTAGCATTAAGTTGATGGAACAATTCTTTTTTTTTTTTCTTTTTTTTTGTAGATCTGAGAACATGAACTTTTTTATTCTGTGCGAGAAACCTCTTTTTTTAGTTTTGATTTTATTGATCATTAAATCATGTGTTGACGATGGATTAAGATGGATAAACAGTGTTGGTGAGAACAATGCAACTAAAACGAGTGGTACACTGCAGTGCTTGTATTGCACGGCTACAGAGTTTTCATTTTGATGCAATGATGCATTTTGTCACAAACCTGATTTTATGCTTACTTAGTGTGTACTTGTCGGAGCATATTAGCTGTTGACTGTCAGTGTAGCAGTAGAACTAATCACACAAGTTAAAGGATTTTGTATTTAGAGTTTTTCTAAATGCACATGAAATGATTTATATTCATTAATGATCTATTCATTTTTCGATAGATATGTGCATGTGTTTTAGAACAATAAATTCTGTTACATTATATCTCTCTTCATATGATACTTTGAAATTGACCTGAAATAAACTATATACTTTGTGGTAATATTTTCCCTTTGTGCCAATTTATTCTTTGTATTTAAATTATAAACCCATCAATACACATTTTAATGTTCCAATGGGTATTGGAATTTCCGGAAACCTTGTTACGACTTTTACTTCCTCTAGATAGTCAAGTTTGATCGTCTTCTCAATACATGTTACTATAGTATATATATATATTAAATAATGATATTTTGATGCCTTATGTACTACAACATTTTCCATGAGATTTTAGTCAATGCGACTATTATTTTATTCAGGAAATTTGTGAGAAAAGTTAACAAATATTATAAGCAAATATAATTAAATAAAATACACAAGATAATTATCCAAATACTTAAAAAGACATTGCTTTTACTCTAGGTGTTAAATTCTCTCTGCCCTCTGTTATTCATTGTGAATAACTGAGATATTATGTTTTGTAGTCACAAAGTAAACATAACAATGCACTATACTTTCTGCAAAGAGTTTGCCTTGAGATAATGTATGTTGTGATTTTGCACTGTACAAATGATTCAATTTCCTAATACTTTAGTTTTTGTAATTATCTTCTATGCTCCTTTGATTGTTGAATGTTTTTGATAGTAGATTTATTGAACCAGTGCTTCTTAAAAACTTAAAGCGAGACATTGCAGCGCTTAGAAAGTTTATAATAAATCCTCACACATATTTCAGTAATATTTCCCCTCATCGTTTATCTTTTTATCCTGACACAATGCAAAGTAATATTTCCATTTAGAAGCTTACTAACAAAATAAGCAAGATGTAGTTACCTACTGCGACTTCTAGAGGGCAGATTTGGCCCAACTCGACAACACAACTTTCGATGAAGACTTTCATAGACGTTAGGAAGTACAACTAATACATCGTTGTCATGTAAGTGCCCGTTAGGGTTAAGGTTAAGTGCTAAGTTTAGGGTCATGTGCCAAAGTTAGGTTTCGGTTAGGTTGCTGGAACACGTAAAAACTCAAGAACCCAGGTAACAGTGTACATTTTGGGGGCATTGATTGTTCTTTTCACCACATTTGGCTCCAAAACCCCAGTTTTAAAGCAATATTTGTTTACTTTATATTCACATATTTAGCAAAAAATCTAATTAACTGAAGATAATGTCACTGTTAAATGTAAATATTAAATGTAAACCTAAAGTGTAAATGCTGAACCTGAACGTGAAAATGTAAAAGAGTGAATTTAAAAAATACACAACATTTTGGAGCTAAATAAGGTCAAAAGTTGCAACTTTACTTCTGGCGCCCCATACAGATTTTCCTCAAACAAACAAACTAATAAATAACTATATATATATATATAAATATCTAAATAATACACAAGACAAGAATTTAGGCTCAGGAGGTAGAAGGAGACTTCTAAATAGGTAATTCAGACAGAGTATGGATCAGCATATTTCTGATTATTATATTACTGATATGATATAATATCATGTTTACTTTGCACTGGTTGTTCTCCCCTGATGTTGGCAGCATTTTTATTCTTCATGTAGACGCTGTTGATGTTTATGCTCATAGATAGATTAAGCGTTACATCGGACGTGAACACGTTTCTTCACCAGCGTCATCTCTGACATTTCTCCTTTGATAATTAAAATACAAACCAGAGCTGGTTGCAGGCTCTTGCATCACTTTTCAAGGCTTTCATGTTTGTCGACAGCGACGGTGTAACGTCGGAATCTCTCGTGGTTTTATATCAAAATCACAAGAAAATAACTATATGTTAGTATTGTCTGTATACAATGCCTGTGCAGGACATCCATCACTCCTCTGATATTCTGAAACTGAAATCGCTCATTATCATTAGATTGGGGATTTGCTACCTGGAGTTAAAAGAACATGTCACATAATTGCAATAACTATGTTCTAGTAAAACAATAAAAAACACAAAAATAGAAATAAAAGGTAATTTCTGTCTTTGCTTTAGATGCTTGACAGTGAGGCTATTCAAGAAAACAAAACACTGAATTCAAATCAATTTTATTAATTGCATGTGTTATAATGTTTTAATACTATCCCAATAATTATTAAATATCACATGAAAAAAAAAGAATGGTTACATTATTTAAACTGCATCAAAAACTACCACAGATCAAAAAAGCTTGAACAGTACGTAAGAAAAAAATAAAAACATTTGTGTGTTTGTGTGGCAGCAAAACGTCTGAAGGTAAATACCATATCATGCTATAGTGGGTGGAGACATTAAACTTGGAGATGAACCTGAAAGCAACACAGCAATGTTTTCTTTTCACAGTGTGAATTTGGTATCTCATCCTACAGGACAGCACTACAGCTTGAATATGACCGACCATAACAACAGTGACCGCAAACAGAAGCAGTTTCTTGGACAAAATACCAGGAATCGAAATATGCTAAAGACAGAAAACAGATTTCACAGTAAATACAATATAAAACAATACAGTATTACTTGGATAACAAATATTGTGAGTTTATAAAATCCCATTTTTATCATTATTTACAAATGTTTCTCCTTCCACCTTACATACAGTTTTGTGGGTTTAGGCTTTGGGTCTTTGTTTCTTTTTCTTTATTTTTTTTGTGAACGAAAATTCACTAGTGGCTGCCAAGAATCTCATCCAAATTTATGTCTTTCATCCAGTCGTCGTTCCCAGAGCCAGACTTGAGCAAAGAGTCAATAAAGTCTGAGTCTGTGTTGATGCCGGGGACGGTGTTGTCTCCCTCTGGCAGGAAGTCAAAGGTCAGGCGGTTGGCCCTGTTGTTCTGGTGGTAGCTGGTGGAGCTAGGGGTGGGCTCGGCGAAGTTCCCCGCCGGCACCCTCTGTTCAGGAGAGGCCTGGTTCAGGTTCCCCACTGTCGATGGGGAGCCCATGATCGGCTGGCTCGGCCTCGGGCCTGTGTCTCTTATCGAGGGGTTAAGAGGGAGCATCCCTATATCCGGTGCGACCTGGTTCGGCGGTCCGATGTGCCTCTGTTGGTAAGGATGGTTCGACATGTCCAGCTGCGCGCCCGGCGACTGCAGCTGGTTGGGTAGACGCCTAATGCCAAGTCCAGTTGTCAATTGCTTGTTGGCTGAGCCCCACCCCATGTTGACATTTGTCATCAAGCCTCCGAGACCCTGCCCCGGGACCCCTGAGGAATGCAGGTCAGCTGTCGTTCTGGGATGTTGGACACCTGCTGCACTGTTCATCCCAAAGGAACCTGCTTGGTTTGGTCCGAGGAACCTCGGTTTATTCTGATTTAGTCCAATCGGATTCTGGTTGTTGTGTGGCTGGAACTGGCTGATACAAGGAGTCGGATGACAGTCGGTGCCGATGCCAAATCTGCGCTCCGATGGTGAAGGACTCATCTTCGAGCCAGACCCACTTGGGAGGTGACAAGACATGGACTGCAGGTCGTTCTCGGGGCCACTGCTGGAAGACGTGGAGGAGTTCTGACCTAAAGAGATCAAAGAAAAGCTGGTCGTGAATAAGAGTTACAATCACATTGATAATTTCAGTCCGATCAGAAATGGCAATACCTGTGAAGATATTTCCTTGCTTGAGTCCCACCATACTTCTGGACTGTTTGTAATCTGGGGGTGGTCTCGTGAGGTGACGGCTGAACTGATCATGTGCGTTGTCTTTGTCCTGAAAAGAAAACACAAAGTTATAAATATAATGAATCATTCCTAACAAATGCTCACCGCTGTCTGAACTGCTCAGGAGTTAGTGATCTTACTGGATTGCTGATAGTGTGCTGTTGTTGGTTAAGCTGTCTCAGCATGGCTGGAGTTTTGGTCGGGCCTTTCTGCAGGTTGTTGGGCACCGGGGCTCGTGGCTGCGACTGGGCTGACATGACTCCTAAGCTCCCATTGATGGGCAGCCTTGGACCAGGAGGAACGCCCTTAGAGGAGGACACACATGGTTTCACATTAAAGTCAACAGCAAATATGCCTTTTTGTTTTTTCTCAGCTGAGTGCAGTGAAAGAAGCTGTTGCAGGGAAAAAAAATGCTGCACGAGAAAACGATGCAATGACAGAGGTTGGCCACGAGAGGGCAAAACTCTACAAGGCATTTTAGATCTGTGTCAAAGATGCTATGCAACCTCCAGAATGTGGTCAAGGCGACTCCCTCTGCAGATAAAAAAGGGAGACTTGGTGAGAGGATTTTTCTTTTTTGGAGGAGGGGAGTGCGAGCCCTCCTCCTCAAGGCCTGCGTCTCCCTTGATAATTGAGTCTAAAGAGAGTGGAAAGAATCCCTGAGACAGCAGAAAATGTGTGCCGATAGGGAGTTAGGCGCCAGCACCATGACTACCTCCATTTAAGCTCTCCTTTACTGATCACTGTTGTGTTTGGCACGGAGACATTCCACCCTCCAGAAAACCCATTTGGCTCCTGACACTATCACACTGATTAAAACGTTGTAGTCGGCTGCACTCAAAGGAAATTGAGACATCTTGAGATTTTTTATTTGATGTCATGTCCTGTGTGCGCTTTCAAGCTTTCACCATCTTGGCATTTGAGATGTTACATATCCTTGTAATGCATATTTTTCTTTTTAAAGCTGCCATCCATACTCTCCAAACGTAAAGCTAAACCGGTCTTTCTTGTGGACACAAGGACACTCTCTACACTGGAGCTTCGACAAATTGCAAGCATTTGTCATGAATGAGGTTAATGTGCACCAAATCCAAGTAAACACAGGCTGTGTATACAGTGTCAGTCATTGTGTTGACTTAAAATATTTCCCAGGGTGAAGTGGATTAAATCCAACAGTGCATTTAGCAGAAGCTATTACTTAGAGAACAGATTCTTTGCTGAGGACGACTCTCTACAGGGTGGTGACTCTGTGGTCCCAAAAGAAAAACAGAAAGAAAAGAGAGGGAAGTGTGTGTGTACGTGCCTGTGTGTGTGCGAGAGAGTGTGTGCGTCGGTGAATGATAATGAATGGGGGCTGAAATATGGAGAACTAACGAGACAGGATTAGAGAGTGAGTGAAGTTGAAACTCATCAGGAGTCACAAGCCATTTCAGATGAGCTAATATTCGGCTTCCTCGTCTGAGCTCAACCCACACAGCAAACCGAGCATGGCAATGAGGTTACACAGGGACTAAAACATCAAAACACTGGTTTCTCCTGTTACTCTCCAAAGCACAGTCGCTGGCTTCGCTTCGCTGTGAGCAGACTGTGAGAAACTGTGTCCATCACAGACATTTTCCCCACAGAGGTACACTGGAGAGGGCTTGTTCCATCGCTGCTGTAAGACAAACCCAGTGAGGGGTGTTCTAGCATGTTCAACTGAGTAATCCTCTCTGTCATCCTCATGTGTCATAAAGCTGTTTTCCGTGTTTTTTCCCCCTTCTCATTCTTCACAAGCTTGTTGTAAATGAATACCACATGTGGCTCGGGCCTCAGAGAAGGAGCGGAGTGATTTAGTCTCCCATCCTGCGGCAGTGTAGGCAGCTGACAGTGATCCAGGCCCAGCCTCGCCGGCTCTCACACTGCACTTCCTCCAAGTCTGGACTCAGGACGCTGTCCCCGGGGAGCAGCTCGGCATCTGGACTTGGCCGCGGCTCCCTTTCCCAGGAAACAAGCACTCCCTTCACTGCACTGCCGGAGTGACCTGGTGGAGGCTCAACCCTCGTGGCCCAGCTCTTATGAGGGATGTGGTGCCACGGGATAATCAACAAACGCTGCAGAGACCTTATTTACAACAGAGCTTCGGCTTTAGTTGCGCTTACAATTTTGGTGTTTCTGTGTGCGTAGAAAGGAGAGAAAGCAGAGTGCTAGCTCTAAATGGGAATCTATATTAGCTGAGGCTAATAATGAAAGCGATGACATTACTGCACAATATTTGTCTTACTTGGAATAATGTATGTACACAAGTCAACATAATATAACACATCTAGTCACTTTTAGGCATTTTATTGATTTTTCTTCTACATATTATCTTTTCTTAAGGAAATTGGGTCATTTGGAGTCCTGAAATATGTTTATTGATTGTTGAATAATATTAAAGAGGTCTGCCTCATGAAATAAAATGATACAATAGATATATACAGATACAATAAGATGTATTTATGCATGAACTATATGCAAAATATGTGTCTTCCCTTGTGCTGAGCAGATAAGATTTTCTGTGAAATGTAAATTTGTATGTAAAGGTTTATTAGTGTGCCTGTATATAGTATATAGCCTGTTTCCACTCTGCTAGATCAGTAGATGGTTGAAACTATAAAACTAGGAAGTGACATTTATAAATCTGTCCTGGAGGCGGTTCCAGTTGCAGTTCAACAGTATAAATCCAATCTCCATTGTGAAAACTTGCTTTTTTTCGCAACATTTTATTATATTACAAGAGGAGTGAATAACTCAAAATACCTCAGTTTGAGCCAAAGAAAAACCTCAGTTACTATAATTCTTAAAAATTGCCTTTTCTGCACCTGCGTAATGCTCCAAGGCATTTCGATACTAGAAAATTGCAAACAGATATTTTGCACAAAGGTAAAAAAACGTTTGATTTCAGGCAGCATAACGACAGCCTGAAATTATTATGAACACGTCAGGTTTTTCTCTTTTTAGCATTTGTCACTGTAGCTTAAATAAACAACATAGCTTCACCGCTGAAGTGTGTCCTTGAAACAGCATTGCCCACCAACCACAGCAACCCAGGTTTCATAATGCATCAGTGTCCTCTACTTTTTCATACATTCCCTGAGTGAGGTGTTTTTTCTGTGTGTGTGACATCATGGGTTGGGATTTGCAGAGTGGTGGGTTTGAATTTTGACACGTCTGACTCTGCAAACGATTATTTCAACTGCAAAGCTGTTTTTTCGAGAAAAGGTCTTCAGCCCCTCTCAGTCGGAGGAAGCCCGGTGCTGTAGTCCCTCTCACTGGTGATGCACGGGGGAATCAGGGCACTCTTTCAGGACCCTTACTTATCCAGCATTACTAATTCAATTCCCTGTGGGAAGAGACTCTTTTTTCCCTCCTCTCTGTGAGCTGTCGCTTCCTCATTAGCTGGACGTTTAACCCTCTCCACGCTGACAGCATAAGACAAACACTGCTTTCAGTTTCTTTCAAACACCTCCTCTTCACATTTTTTAAAATATCTCCTCCCTTCACGTTTGCATATTTCATTTGTTCAAACAAAAATGCATCGTTAAAGCTCAATGTGCTTTGGAGGAAAGTTGTCTCACCCCTCATGAACTCCTGCCAGAGCTTCACGTCCTCAGTAATTTAAAGAGCAGAGGTGACTGAGCTTTTTACTTTTAGGAGCTTCGGGCTTTGAAAACCTTTGCTTTTTTAAATTATTGATCAAATTCCATTCAAAGCTTTTTCATTAAGCTCTTCTACATCTCTTCCATTTCCCTTTCACTACTATGGCTTTTTAATTATGTACCATTTATATTCTTATAATTTCAGATTTTAATATGCTGCATTAACTTCAGAAGGACGGAAATATTATCATAAGTGTTTGTCAGCAATGCTTCTAGTGTCACTAATAAAGCTAAAGTTAATGGTAATTCTGGTCATTTTTATTTAAAGGATATGGTAACTTTGGCAGTCTCCCAATCAAATCAATAACAAAAGACCTAGTTTGATGATGTCATGTAGCAGCATGGGATCATGGGAGTTGTTGTCTTCACCAACCTTGCGGATGAAAATCTACCTTATGTGACTCCAATGAAAATCACGTTCACGGATGAGGTTTTGAGATTTAGTAAGTTATGTAGCAAACAGCAGGGAATAATCGTTGTTCCTTCTCTATGCCTCATTTGCCCTGGAAGTTTTGGCAGAGACGGGCAAAGAAGAAATTAAAAGGCGACCACACGAAACGTCCAGGTACCTTGAATAAATTAGGGGATTTCTGTTTTGTTTGTATACTTAATATACATTGTTAATATGTTTTAGAAATGGGGTTATTTGGAGTTCTGAAAAATACAGATTACAGATGAATCAATATTGAAGATTTTAAAGATCTCAGCCTCATAAAATAAAACACAAATCTTTGATGATGAATATATTCTTAGAGACTTGGGGGGGGGGTTAAACATGAGTGTACACAGCTACGTGTTGTGTTGAAGGAGTCAGTGGCTCCCTGGTATAGTAGTAAAACTGGTTCTGTTACACCCATGCATGATGATGTATTTGTCATCCTATCTTGTTTACTTCAATGTCTGCACAGCTCCCTCCCCTCCCTCCCTCCCTCCCTCCTCCCACCCTCTCCCAGTCACTCAGGCACTTGCCTTGATCTGTAGAGGTTAGGAGAGCTCTCTTGTGTGGCTCGCATTATCATTTCACACAAAGACGGTTACAGATACTGTGAGTGCAAGAAATGAAAGAGGGGGGGACGACCTAAATCTCCCCAATCATAACAAATCAGTGATTCAACCTCCGGCACCAGGCTAAGCAGATTACTGTCATTTTCCACCACTTGTCCCTTGTAGCTAACAACCTCCAATTAGCAAATCCCGCTGTGCATATCTGTGCCCTGACGGAGAGCCACCATGACAAGCAAAGAAATTAGAAGTCCTGCATGTTAATCTACCGTGGTCTGGCAATCTGTGTCATCGTCAAAGCACTTTCAGGGGGAAATACATATTCAACAGCAAAAAGGCAGAGACAGCAGTGAGAACAATGACAAGATAGTCCCAAAACAAACAGCCGCTGCACTGTTGACTGCTGCGAGCAAACTGAGGATGTCGACTGATGAGGAGGACTAATGCGAGTTTGTTTGACTGTGAATCATGTTACTACACCTTCAGCAGAGAAGATGGCATCCAGTGCTATTACTTATTTTACACATAGAGGAATAAAACACGCAAGCCAGTTATTCAAAACTTGCAACAAGATAAATCATCAAGATAAATCCTGAAAGGATGTAAATGAATTTTCGGCCACTCACATCGTGATTTGCACCATCTGTCATAAAAGATGCTGCCATTAACAGCTCATGATTTAATGGCATCAGCTGTGAAAACCTTCTAATGCCAGGGATCATTTTTAAATTAAAAATGCATGATGGAATATTCTGTATATTTCAATTGTCTTGAGATGACCTAGTTTGTGTGAAAAACCCTTTTTACAAACAAAAGAAATGCAAAGCGGATTTGTTTTAACTCCTTAAAAGAGACATATTATGCTTTTTAAGGTTTTTCTTTCAAGTGTGTGATATTGTGTTTGTTAAACTTCTGCAAAGCTAAAAAGCAGCAAAGGGAGCTCCTTTTCCCCACAGAAAACACTGCTACCGAAACGCCTCGTCAGCAGTATGGCCAATACTGGTGACATAACGTTTTCCCACATTTGCATAATGTACACAGAGCGGCCAGTCTGATGGAAATTGTGAAGCACTTTGAACTTCACTAACCTGTATGAAAGGCGCTATGTAAGTGTGATGGATTGAATGAATATGTGAACCTGAATAAGAGCATAACATGTGTCTTTTAAAAAGTTCTACAAATTTTTTTAATAGAACTTAAATGGAGCCTTTACCTGTCGCTGTTGTGTCAGCTTGAACGGCAGCCCGGCAGGAACAGTCTTGGGTTGCAGACAAAGGGCCCCTGACGTGGAGATCTGTTGGTTCTGGAAGTGGAGCGTTGAATGAGGCTGGTTCTGGCACGTCGAAGGCGACTGCTGCTGTTGGGCTGAGGCCTTGTTCACTGAGCTTGCCATGATAGACATCGGCTGACCCCCGGCAGAATGCGGAGCTTTGGGGCTGAAGTGCAGTGTGGGCTTGGTGCTAAGAATCTTCATGTCCAAGTGATGGGAGCCACTGTGGCCGTTTGACTTGAAGAGGCAGTTGTTGATCCCTTTGCTCTGGGCTCCGATCCTCTGCTGGTTAACCTGGGCTGGGCCGGAGACCTTGTCCTGGGGGAAGGTGCTGGTGGAAGAGTGGCTGCTCATGGCAGGAGCCCAGCTGGTCAATCCCACAGGTGGTGGTTGGTGGTGGTGATGGAGCAAAGAGCTCGGCTGCTGCTGGTTTGCCGCCATCTGCTTCAGCTGCTCTGCGTGGGATATTTCTGGCCAGCAGGGCATGGCTCTGGGGTGTCCTGCCTGAGTGTTGGGTTTCTGTGTAGTGGTGGTGGAAGAGGTGCTGGTCAGTGTGAACGAGGGCCCTGCTGAGGCCGGGCGAAGCTGTGGCGAGCCAGCGTGAACCTGGCCATAATCTGGGGAGTGCTCCGTCTTGATCGGCTTGTCCATCGGGGAACACAGACTGGCAGCTGCGCCTGCTGAGCTTGGCCGACCTAGATCCAAACCGAATGTATCATCCTGTTTCAGCATCTTCTCGAACTCCAGGTCATTCAGCGGGGACACTGTCTTTGTCAGCTCATCAAACAGATCCTGGAGATCTGGGTCAATCTGACTGCCACATTCATCCTTGAAGTCAAAAATCATCTCTGTGTTTGATTGGCCACACGACGGGACCTCGATGGGCTCTTTTTTCATTTCCTTCAGGGTCATGTTGAAGATGTCGGACCCCACTCCATGAGGCATCATGTAATTTTTCCTCTGCATGCCCATGGCTGATGACCCATGGAGAGAGTGAGACTGGGTCAAGTTATGGTTGCAAGGCCCATGTCCCAGAGCGCCAGTGTCCACACGGACCCTCTTAAAGTCCGATCCTGAGAAACCGCAGGATAACCCATTCTGCTTTGGTATATGTCCTGGTGCATGTCCCTCGAGCTTTCGTCGCAAAGATCCTTGGAGCTGCAAAAGACAAAAGAGCAGAATTTTAAAACCTTTTCTGAAACAGACACAAAAGCCTCACCTATAGTTTATGTATTTAACATGTGACTAACCCTAAAGAAAATGTTTTCGTAGCTGGCCTTTAAGTCTTGCACTTGATTCCTGTAAGCTAATTTATGTTGTGGCGATAGTTCTGTGTGCAGGTGCATCAAACTCCAAATCCAGTTCAAAGTATCACCATGTAAATTAATCCAATTTCACAATTTGCTCCAAGGCTTGTAGATGCAGCTCACTTGACAAACTTGTGAAATTTAGGAAGATGACTTTGCATTAATAGACAGTTTCTTTTTTTTCACTTGGTAGAATTTACAACAGAGATGACGTCTCAAAATGAAGATTCAGACTGAAACCACCCAGTCACATTGCAACATAAGACCGCACAGATACATTCAGATAAAGCTTAAAATATATAAATGTGTTTAACAACGTGCAGTGCAGCGCAGCAATGAGGGGAAACGCTGCTGCAGCACTTAGAACATTGTTTTTATATAATGTAGTTTGAGCACAGTGGATGGGCTGAGAAGATAGTAAGAATCTGATACAGTCGACAGACCCGAGAGAGAAGAATAGGGTCTTTGTCTGTTTCCCTCATTTGCATACATTATATCTTCATCCATTGTGCTTCCTCAGATTGCAGAGTTTCTCCTTTGTGGCTGAGATTCTGCTTAACATGCTGGTGCAGATATCTGACTTCCTTTTGTCCTTACTCCGTGTTTTCATTTAAAAGGTACTAAGCACATGGAGATGACTCACAACTCTAACCAACACCCCCATATTACATTAAAAACTAAATTCTCCTCCATGTCATCAAAGTAAAAAAAAACTGGATTACTCATATTTTCAGATGTTATCGTCATGTCAATAGTTTCTTCCTTCATGGGAGCTCTTGCATCATCGTCAACAACTCGCTGAGAAAGAAATTGTTTATGCAGCGGCACAGTGTTGTATACACATAAAAGCGTTTTGTGTCATTATCTGACCATCTTTTAATGTGGCGCCTGCATGGAAACAAAATGACTCTGATCCTACGCCGACCTGAACACCAGAGAGAGGAGTATCAGTGTGATGCATATTTCACTGTGGGAACAAATTTGAGTCATTTCCACCTGCTGGCACACATTGCATTAAGATGATTCATAGCCGGAGGGTTTGGAGAGAATCCTGTACTTCACTACATTTCTACTCTGCTCGTGTCTGAGTTACTTCTGCTAATGGTCTTAACAACTGTTCGGAGATGGGCCTGCATGCTCACATTTTAATCAAGGCACAGAGGCATCGCTGCCACTGATGATGTTAATGGAGAATCTCTCCACTGCAATTATCTATTTTCTGCAGAAGATCAGACTACTGCTTTTGCATTTAGCTTACTGAGCACAAGCATTTTCAAAAGCACGATTAACTTCCAGGTAAACATTGGGTTTATTTTAGTAAACATGTGCATGAGCTGCATAACAATGACAAATGTGAAGGCAGAACAAAATAAACCATTCACTAACTCACATTCAGCCAAACACGAAGGGAGACTGATGTCAAAGTGAGAGTGGCCGGTTTGTTTTCTTTATTTTTTTTGCCAACAAGATGTCGTCACTTTGTGGAACTGCAGCTGGAGGCAGAGTCCTGCTTCTGAACTTTGTTTGGTGGGTGATTTACAAACCTCCTGACATCTGAAAATGTAATAATATTCTGTCTGTGCTGTCAGAAAATCCAACTGAGTAGAAAGAGGCTGTTTCTTGCAATAAAATGTTCTCGGTCGACATATGACTCAAACATATTACTGTATATGTTAGACTGTCTTTGAATGCAGTGAACAGTGATTGTATTGTAACAGTAGTAATAGTAGTAGTAGCAGTAGTAGTAGCAGTAGTAGTAGTGGTGGTGGTGGTGGTGGTGGTAGCAGCCTGCCTTTTAGTATGACATGTTTGATTTTGTATTGTACTTTATTTCGCTCAAACTATATTTATTATATGTATTATTCATCTTAGGCTGAGCCATATAGCTGTACTGTTTATTATGTATATGTAAAATAAGACATATCACATAATTTCACCTGATTGAATATAGCAATAATTTAAATTGATGAAATGAATGTATATAAATGCAGTGTAGGAAAAAGTAGGAGTACTAAGTGTTTGACAATAAATAACTAATTAACATTTTAATTATTATTATTATTGACAATAATAATAACAGTATGCTACGTATTTCACATACTGTACTTTGCTCATATTATATATCTATTGATTTATATACATTTGGATATACTGCACTAACTAACGTTTCTATTCTTTTAAATCCTTTTGTAATTCAGGCTGCTGTAACATAGGGATCAATAATGGACAATCTTATCTTTACCTTTACTGCCCTGTGTACAGTGAAATATATAGATAGGAAAAGCAAAAACCTGTTTGAAGGGGAATATACTTTGACACAAAAGTAAGGCTGACTTGAAAAATTCTTGACAGAGACAAGAGAGGACGAAATCTTGTCTGATGATGTAATGGCAGCCGGGTCGGATGATGCCAGTACAGAAAATTACAGAGACACACATACAGTTCAAACTTGGAAATGTTCCATGAGTTCATCTGCACTGTTTCATTCACCAGCTCCTTTCACCATCCTCACTGAGGTCCAGGCTATTAAGCGTTGTGCCCCTCAACATATTACTGGACATCTGTTTTTCTCCAGAAACAGATGAAAACAGGCCCTTCCAGTGTGTGTGTGTGCAGCTCATGCACTTTTCTCTCTAACCCTCCTTCTGGAGAAGACAGACAGGAGTACTCCTCGTGGTTCAAGGCACTGTCTGAGCAAACACGTCATGAATAATGGAAAGGGCAGTGGATGTGTTGCAAAAAGCCATTGTGAGACAGGGTTGTCTCACTAGTGCCGCTGTGCCATTTATAAAATGGACCGCGGTCAAGGGTAGTTGTTCATTCAGAATTCAAAGCAGAGGCTTCTAAAGACATTTTGCAGTTTGGGTGAAGGTCAGATCACGTGTGCATCATGATATTACCAACATTTAAGTAAAAAAACATTAAAACACAAGCTCAGACACTTGTTAAAAATACTTTCCAACAAATAAAGGATGGTCCTGTTCACTCAGTGCTCAGATGTAGTAGCCTCCTGGCTGACCTGAAATCCTCATGACAGATCTCCAAGTGATCTGAAAATAGATTTTTTGATTAACATTTAATGAGCTTAGAAGCTCTGAATCACTTTGAAAGTGACTCCTGCTGCATGAGAGGCTCAAACATACATAGTATGTATTATATACCCGTCATCCTGAAGATGAAAGCGTTAAAGTTATTTCTGGGTCAGTAAAAATATAAATTCACCCACTTTTGAGTGCGTAGCGAGCAGATCGTCCACTTAAGGAATTTAGTGAAAACCAAGGCTAACAAAATTATTTCTCACTGGAAGTTCAAAGTTCATCTAAACTTCTCACAACTAGAACTCACTCTGTAGAGCACATATCTCTGCCAAGGCCCAACACTCCCCTTATGAAACTACATTGAAATTCATTACATCCAGATTTTTCATTTTAATCTTCACCAAATTGCACACACACATATATTCATGTCCCCTAAATATCCCTGATTTTGTTTATCAAAATCCATGAATCCAGGCGAACACATGGATTTAAAGGCACATAAGTTGTCAGCGTGTTTGTGACGTCGGAGATGACACACCCTACTATCAATGGGAGAGGAGTTAACTGCCTTCTTTAGGTTCACCCACGTTTAAATAACCTGCATATACCTGCTAATTTGGGTGTGAACAGGTGTAACAAGATTCAACTTCTTTAATTGACCTATACCGGACACACAATAAAACTATTATTGACCGAATCAAGAATAGATTACATGTTTTTGTTTTTTCTTACTGCTCACTGATCCCCTTTGACTGTGGCACTGAGGAACCTAACCTTGGCCATGTGAACAGAGGCTATCTATTCCTGGGAGCTGGGTGGCTGGTCGCTCGAGTGTCACGCTGAGCAGTGTGGTGATGCTGAGCACTGTGGATGGAGCTTCGGGTGAGCCACAACACCAGGCCTCCCGGTACCATCTGTCACACCGGTGGCACAGCCCCTCGGAGCCACGCAATGCTTCCAGGCTATTGGTCTGAAAAGTGTTTGAAGGTTTTTGTTGCCTGTGCATGTGTTTGCGTACAAAAGTGCGGCTCCACAAAAAGCCTGCGCTCGCCAGCCTTTAATCTATTCACCAGGATCCCGAGACATGTTGCAATCTGCTCCCGCAAGAGTTAGAAACCTTCCTCTCGGCATCTGACATGGAAAAAACAGCCCCAAAATAAAGGAATAAATACCGCTATTGTGTTTCTAGGGAGACATAATATTTGTGCGGTTCTGCAGGTTGTGCACGGTTACAGGAGGGGATTTCAGCTCGCTTATTGCCAGATAAGAAACAAGAGCCCTCTCAGTCCAGTGCCAATGATCAGCTGTCATGCAAAATTCAGATATCTGCCTGAAAACAATGTGGAGGGCTTTGTTTAATTACAGGGTTTCTGTCTGAAGCTGTAAGCCGTGACAACACTGTAAATCCAGGGAAACTGAATCAAACATCCTGGATAACTTGACATAGTTTATAATGGTGGGGAAGCTGAGGCTGCTCCAACAAGATCATTTAGTTTTAGTTTAATTTCAGTCGGATCATGTCTGAGGGGCTGTCACATCCTTACTGTTAAGTTTTCATTACCTCCGCCAAATGTTTTTGTCTGTGGGTTTGTTTGTCTGTCAGCAGGATTACGCAAACACAGATTTCTACGAAGCTTCGGGAAGTAGTTACGGAGTTTGCCTCTCACATACAATTCTAAAGATCCGTTTACCACAACACAGAAATCTGTGGTCAACACGTCCACTCTCTCACTGTTAATCCTGCCGAGGATCTCCTGCTGTATTTTCACATCGGCTCATGCGGACATTCTCCGGACTTCTCACTAGGCAGCTT